TTGAACTCTAGCGATGTTGAGCCAATTTGGATGCTTGGAGAACTCCCATTATGGATTAATTAAGTAATCCAAGTGCTAAAGTTGATAAAAATTTTCGGCAATTGGCATGCAATAGTATTATGATCAATGATGATTTAATTCACTTTCTGCCGAATGCTTGCCATTGACATGCTTGGATTTAGGATGTTGATGCTCACTTGAAGGTTGCCACTTTAACACATCGTATTGTCAAGTTATGGTGTTTGGGAGTTAGACCATTTAGTCTATTTAAGCAACATGATGATTCGGACTTGTTGGGGGACCGAATTCATTAATTATATTTTGCTTTGGAAGAACACAGAGGCTGGATGTTGGCTGCACCAAACCCAATTTCAGAATTAAGATCGAGAAAGATTATGGATGGCGACAATTGATCGCTTGGTGCATATACAAGAATTTGATGAAAACAGCTGAGGACATTACCTTAAAAAGTTCAAGATAGCAAACAGAAGATATCAGTGAAGGCACAAAACAGAATTTGTCACCTCAAAGCTGAAATTGAGTTTGAGCCTGATGAAGGTGTTTTTAGTACCCAAGCTTTACTAAAAATAGGGGGCATATGTTGACACCCAAATGTCTAAAGTGCATAATGGAATCCTCCATCATGTTTCTATCGCCAAGATAGCCAGAAAGGATACTTGGATCATCGCATTTGGAGCCTGGACGAAGGAAACAGCTTTTTCGGAGCCTGATCCAGTCAGAGTCGGCTTAGCCGACTCCGTAAGACGACTTGACTAACTTCTCCAAATGCATGAACGGACTTCACCATTGCGTTCCTCTCATTGAGATGATCGAAAAAAACATATATGGTTCACCTGATTTGGAGTTCGGATGAATTAATTACGAATTTTGGAAGACTTTCACCCGGAATTTTCCACTGGTAGTCGGCTTAGCCGAGTCACCTAGTCGGCTAAGCCGGCTCTCCCTGTTTTCAGCCTGAAAATAGCACCTCGGCCCGTGGAAGTCGGCCTAGCCAACTCGGGAGTCGGCTTAGCCGACTTTGTCAGGTCCAGAATGGATCTAAACACGTTTTGATATGATTTGAAAGGGGTTTCAACTCCTTGAGGGATAAGGCCACCCCCACCTTATAAATATAAGGTGCATAGCCAATTGAGGTACCCAACACACACAATCGTATCAAAAAACCAATCTACTACCTCTCTTTTACTCTCTCTTCCCCTCTACTTCTCGTTCTTCGTCGGCGCTGCATGGATGGTAGATCGACGACGGCATCTTAGCTGCTACACGCCCCAACGGGGTCCCTCCCGGGCGTGTGGGGTTTTGGGTCTCAAAAGATCTCGCCGGCGTGTCTTGCGTATCGCGCTCCCGGCGAGACTCCTCCGACAACGTGTCTTGCGTATCGCACTCATCGCTGGAGGCACAAGGTTCAGGTGTGGACATCCCCTAGGCATCGGCCGATCTTAAAATCGGCTAGGCCCTACATTGAGCAATCTAGCTCCTTATCGAGTGTGTGACCTAATTGAGCGTGAACAGCATGTTCGGAGCACTGTAATTCGATACTATCCCTCATTGGCTTTGCCTCCGCCTCCGCTTGCTTGGGCAACGTGCTCACGCTGCTGCACTCAACCACAAGCACCGGCGCGGGCATCTGCGAGCACACCAAGTTCGCCACGCTCATGACCATTCCATCGGCATGCTCAGCGAAGGACACAAGTGCAAGGATGCACTGAGGATAATTGCTTGTGGTAGCTGCATCCATTGTGCTCGTCAGTCAAGCCGCGTCACTCTCTCTTAGCTGGCGTGGCCATTGATAATGCTTCTTAGGAACAATGGCCAAGCCCATGCAGTGAATTGCCAAACACAGACGTGCAAATAAGCACACCGCCGTCGCGCTAGGCAGCCACTATCTGTATGAACTCACATCGCCTCCTGTTGCTTACTTGCCCAAAATTACCCATGTTCTCTCTATTAATCTACTTACTGCAAGTCGTGCCTCACCATGCTTGCTCAATGTTGGTTGGTGAAAGGCAAGGTGCTGTGCACAAGCTGGTCAATAAAAACTAAGAAGAACGACTCCTGGATAATTTAAGTATTACCATTCTCATAATATAGGTTATATGAATTCATCCTGGCACTACAAATTATGGTATGCTTACTCTTCTGCAGCTCTATGTCCTATACCATTACTTGTTTGTGCTTGCAAGTAGGCTTAACTGACATGTAGACAAATGTCCAAAATTTTTCTCTTCATAAATATTCTGTTACTCGTCACTAGAATTTTCAGAATAGTTTACTTTACCTGCTTGATGCTATGCTACTTCCTTTCATTTCTTCGATTCAAGACCTATGCTTGCCAAATCCATATGCTCATCAATTATCATTTGATAAATAAAACACCTAAATGTTCTATCAGTCTTTCATATTCTAATTTTCAGAGAAGTTTATTTTACATGCTTGGTGGCATGCTACTTTAGATTTCTTATTATGCTACATAACTTTGTGCTATAAGATTCTTTTTCTTTAGTCTCATGTTTATAAAATTCATGATCATAGTGACTCCTGTAAGACCTAAAAAATACTTACAAATGTACTAAGGACGAAAAATCACAGCTACGACTATCGTTGGATAACTGGTATATTTCATTATATTTTGTTGGTTCAATTATGCCAATTATATCATGAGTTTTATACCAAGCTGAGCTATACTGGTTCTTCCATTTGGTGACTCCATCAAAAGCTTAGTTAAAAACTCTGATATGCTTAACATTAACAATTTTGACTTTGAACTGTAACATTATGAAGGTATTATGTACTGCTTGCCAGAAATTTGCCTGTAATTGCGATTGGTTCGGGCATAGTGTTTAATTGCGAGCCAAAAATCAATGTGTGTTATATAGCTTGTTCATAAGAAATTTCTTATGCATGCATGCTAATTATTGATATGACTTGTTTTTCCTAAATTTACTCTGTACTGACTATGCAAGGTCTTTACTGTAGAGTTTTATCTTGTAATAAGGCAGCCACACACAGCTGACACTTAAATTGTATCTGGAGTAGCATTGCCTAGGAGCTATAAAATTCCGGCCAACATTTATTCTCTTCCTTTTCTTTTCACTGTTCTTTTCAGATTTGAAAGGCATATCTAAGGAAAGGATGCAGATAGTTTGACAAAGTAAGAGAAGGTTTTTCGGGAGCATTGCTTGTTAGATAGTTTTCAGTTTTGTTTGGAAGACACGTCCAAGGAGAGGATGCCGAAAGATTACAAGGTAATAAAAGATTATTAGTTATATAAGATAATTTTTAGATTTAGAAAAGCACATCCAAGGAGCAAAACAGTCCTATGACCGATGCATGTTGTTCTCCCCTGTGAAACACAAAACAGATAGCATACAAAGTATGCAAAAGAGATGAAATATGTACTGACATTGTTAACATGAATACAATGGATCAAGAATTACTATTGCTGCTTGCCTAAATCTATTAACAATAGTGACAAACCGATAATCCATTTGGATCACAAGGTATATATGTGATATATATCCTGAGCTGGCCAGCTCCATCAAGGGCGCGGCAAAGCCGCGCCTATGTTTCTAGTGTTACACGAACACGAGCCTGGTCTCTCGTTGTGAAATTCTCAACTAATAGAACTAGCACCACATGGAAAGCAAAATGGATCGACGAGATGCAAAGACGTGGCAAAAAACATTTCCAAAAAACAATACAACAACATCCATTTTTTGTGTCATTATCTATCTATATTCAATATTAAAGTAAAAAGATTCTTTTACATCTCGATCCGTTATCTCTCTTCTTTCATCACTCACTTCGACTATTTATGTTTTCACTGTCGTCCCTTGCTAACTCTCTTTTCCCTCCCTTTTATTCCTCACTCCATCTCTCTTATTTTATCATTTTTTACCCTTGCTCTTACGATCGTCCTTTACTCACATCTCTTTTTTCATCTCTTAGTTTGTCATCTCTCACCCAATTTGGAGGCGTAGAACATTCACTGGCGTCGTATCACTTATATAGTCATATCATGGTCTAGTCGGCTAAACCTAGACCCATAAGCGTCATGACTTTAGCGCATACATGCGTGGCTAACCTTTTTACCTTTCATTTTTTTTTGCGAGCAAACCTTTCTTTTTAACCTTATAACAAATATAAACAATAGCAAACTATTTAAGTTATGTCAATCTCTAATTAATTTTTCATACATGATTAATCTTTTATTCTACTTAATTTATTACAGGAATTAAGATTTAGTTAAAATAAAGTTGAGCCAAACCCAACAAAATAGCTAGCTCTATGTGACCATGCGACAAAATGTATTTCCTATTGTAAAGTATGTGCATGTTTGTTAGTATATATTTATATCTATATTTGTACCTAATGGCTCCATTCGCTTCGCTGAAAAAACAAGTCGAAATATTATTCCGGCTGATTTGTTGTGAGAGAAAAACATTGTTCCGGCTGAAAAAACAAGCCGAAAAGTACGAATTATAAGATAAGCGAACATGACCAATATTAGAAAGCAAGCAGTTCCTCCGTATATCATTTTTTAGTTCCCATAATACCCCTTGTGTCTCTCATGTGCCATGCTTATACGAGTTGAAAGCATGTGCATTTATGTGCTTAGTAATGATACAGAGTCTAATTCCAATATTTATTAGATAGATCACGACCGTTATATAAATCTCCGAACTACAAGTCATTTAAGATAGTGTGCAACAAAGTGTATACGATTTTAAGAACCTTTAGCCAAAATATCAATGCTGGGAAAAGCAAAAAAAAAAAGTGAAAAGCCCTCGAAATCGGTCAGTAGCGGCGGTGCCGCACTAGAGGCTGCTGTGCGACACTGCCAGTACACACACGTCTACCGCCGTGCAGGTAAGTGGTCCTACATGCTAGTAAACGGGCCCACAAGATGAAGCTCTTCCGCAGCGCCAAAAACCCGTGCCGCACAGCACCATTCTATGCGGCATAGAATTTTTTTCCGGTCAGTAGCGCCGGCTCTGCAGAAGCGGACTCGGTGAACTGTACCCCAACGCGCGGTGTAGCGGCTGTGGCGGCAGCAGCTGCGCACCGTCCCCACACACGCCGCTGTTGCAACTGCCGGGGTCCGCCCGAGTCGTCTTGTGCGGCGCCGAGCCACCGGCACCCGCGGTCACCGCCGTCATCTCAAGCACCTCCTCGCCCCCGCCGCACCGCAGCCTGACGACCTTTCCACGTGGCAGCCCCGTCGTCGCCGGCGCCTGCAGTAGCTCGGAGCAGCTCCCGCAGACTAGGAACGGCGCGCAGTGGTTCTTCCGCCGTTCGCTGCGGTAGCCACCGGAGGACGACGACGAGGAGCCGGTGCTGCTCGCGTTCCGGCGGTGACCGCGCCCATCGACGTGCAACGCCCGCGCGAGCTGCGACTCCAGCCGGCGGAACAAATGGACGTCGCGCGGCGCAGACGCTCTCCTGCTGCTCGACGCCGGCTCGATAGCGGCGATCAGGCCTCGGAGGTTGTCCAGCGCGTTGACCAGCTCATCGTGGAACGCCGGGTCCCTCAGCGGCGACGGCGCGACGCCATACGGCTCCTGTCCGGACAAGCCGATCGATGTCTCGAACGCTTGCGATCCCAGGAGTGATCTCCAGCGGCGGCGGCGGCGCTGCCGCTCGCACGCGTTCCTCGGCGACGAGAACCCTTCCTCCGTCTCCGAATCCGTTGCCATCAGCTTGCCGTCGTAACGCAGAACGCTGGAATCAGAGTCAGAGCCCGACGGGCGCCTCGTTCGTCGGGAGAAGGGCCGGAGCTTGTCTTGTTCATTTGAGTCAACGAAGCCATCGTCACATCGAGCACTAGTAGCAGTAGGTGCGCCATTGCTAAGAGAATGACCCTGCCGTACTGAACCGAATCCTCCATCTGGTGCCGGCGAGGAGGAACGCGGAGGTGCAATAATGTCCTGGTGGAATAACGGATGCTGATCGCCGTCGATGTCGACACCCGGAGCCAGCTTGCTGTAACAGGCGTCGAGTTCATCGGAGAACACCGACGCAGTGTCCACCGAGAGGATCCAAAGCCTGCTCAGGGCTTGGTCGATTTCTTCCGTCGGCACAGGGTTCTTTCCTGCAGATGCAGAGAAACAAGAAAGCAGCACACATCTGATCAGGCACACAAAATGGTTAAAAAAACTCAATGTTTTAAGGGATTAAATTACAGTCCGTGGCACCTCTGATCAGGGTGCGGCATTTGCTGCAGAAGAAGATGACCGCTTCAGGGTTCTGGTAGATCATGGTGCGGCAGTATGGGCACCGGCCAAACCGCATTTTGATCTCTCCCAACTCCATCATCGTCGTGGTTTACCTGTGAAAGGTTCAGAGAGATTGCTCAAGGAAGGCTCGGGGTCGGGCGAATGTGTGGGGGATATACCCCGCTATCCATAACATAAGACATGGGCCACGCCCCAAAGGTGGTCCAGTCTAAAAGATTAAGGCGTGCACCGCAAGACTATATGAAGATGTGATTTATTGTATAATATAAAATAGGATATTTTTCTTGTAACCCTACCCCTCCAGAGTATATAAGGAGAGCAGGGGTCCTCTAGACGAGATATCAAATCTGATATACAATCAATACAAAATAACAGAGCATAGGATGTAGGGTGTTACGTTAAGCTGACGGCCTGAACCTATATAAATCTTGTGTCTTGTGTCTCTGTTACCATCTGGTTCGTATCACGCGCACCTCCACCGATTTATCTACTACCGTGGGTATATCTCTCAGTAGACTGTCGACCAGATTTCGTCAACAGTGACGCACCAGGTAGAAGGTGTGCATGTTGATTTCATGGCGAACAAGATGGGATCTCAAGACCAACATCGACCACAGCGATTCGACGGATCAGGATTGGTGGCGTCGTGCGGCGCCAGTGACTTCATCGTGGATCCAGATGTGTGCTTCGACGGGTGCTCTATGTCGATCTGCTCCCATGGCGCCGTTCGGATCAGGATAGTGGTCTACGAGCCACACGTACGGCGGCTGCGCCGCACGCTACATGCAGGCCCTGTTTTCTTCGCGGCAACGAGCGACACGCGACCACCACTCGCCGAATCCATCTGGTCGCCCGCTTGCTGCAATCCATGTCCGGATGCAACGGCTGTCGCCGGCCACCGCACGCGTGTCAACATGAGCTGACAAGCCCATCGGTATAAGATCCGGATGCATCTCCCAAGAAGCCAACTGCAACGCACGATCGATCTGCAGGGCCATGCAACCTCACGTCAACTACACCAAGCTTGCATGTGTGCGTGTATCTCCATGAGGCATGCAACACTAGGCGGCGTCCTATCGTCGCCCGATGTTTTCTCCAATCAACAACAAGAGAAGGCGTACGATCTACAAGACAAGCAAGTGGACAAACATGCGATCTGCATGTCCATGCTGATTAGAATAATCATACTTCAGTTTGCATGGGCACATGCACGTGAGTACATCCAGATTTAGCAACGGAAATACCGTGATGATCCTCGTCGCCCTCGAGATCACGTACCTGCTGGAAGGCGACACGCAGGAGTTTTCGGGTTTTCAGGCTACGGCGGCGGCATTTACCTACTACACAAAGCCAACAATCAAAGCTATTGGCATATGCATATGCGCCGGATCGTACGTGTAGCCGTTGCGCGGCCGTCTGACTACATCAAGCTGTCCGACTCCATTTACCCGTAAGCGGGCCGCTAAGCGAGCTGTCCGAGTCGTAAGTGAGCCATTCGTGCCGCATCCGTCTACTCGCACATCATACATGCCGACTGCTCCGCTTGGCCATCTCCGATCAGATCAAATACGCCTACGTCAGCGATCTCCCCAAATCTGATCTGCCAAAGGCCGATCAGTAAAATAAGGACGACGTCGCCCTGACTACTCGCTCCGACCACCTACCGCGTCGCAATGATGATCGCCGCGAAGTACGGCGCTGTGACAACCGCGACCGCCGCCATGACGACAGTTCAGAAAGCTCGAGGGCCGAGCAATTTCGTCGACGTCGACCGGATAACGTCGTACGCCGCCGATCAGATATTTTGATTAAAGCTAAGTACCTCTACTATATCTGTATTTAATACATCCTTCTCCAATTATTTTCTCCGAGTTTTCACTATACTCCTCCAATTACTATTTCTCTGGTTATTTTCCATAATTAAATGTCTCCACGTTTAATATCTTCGTGTTTAAGATGTTCCATAATACAACATCCGACCAGTTGATCGAACTGTTCGGCGCTCACTTCTACTCGGCGCTCACTTCGCCGCAGACTAGTTGGTTGGACTGCTCGATGCTTGATTCTTCGCCAACCAACTGGTCGGATTGTCTGTCGCTTCATCGTCAGCTACGCTTAGGGAGAACTAGATGGGAATTTTCCATCATCATCACCATCTGCGGCGACGACTCGGCTCCGTGAGATTGAGATCTCAACTTAAGGCTCTGAGGAGCATCGCTCTTCATAAGAGTTCTCCGGAGGTCCAACACTGCGCTTCGTCGGCACCAATCAAGGAGACGGCTACATACGGCAAACCAGCAGTATGCAGGTCAACTTCAAGAATTCGGCTGCATCACCCGACATCGACTCGTCATCATCCTTTGGCGGTGCTTGTCAGCCCTCATCGACGACTCGCGTGGTCCTCGCTATCGACTCGACATTACGAGGCAACTCACGGTGACGCATTGTGATTTTCACTAAGATCAACGTCAACAAGCAAAGGACGACGTATTATCTATAATACCATGCAAGAAAAGTAAACAAACCATCACGGTGTTTTGACTGCATCTACATATAGTCTCGAGCATGCATGCAAGAAATAAATTCCCTTGCTACCGATCTACACTCACGAAATGTGACTCCAACGTCATCAATCCAAACGAGCTAAGTCATGGTTTTTTCCATTGAATATTCTAATATATATATATATATATATATATATATATATATATATATATATATACTTTATCTACCTTGATAACTGTCAACAGCAGCGGCGGCCCTATGCTTTCTCCATTTATTTTCCATAATTTTTCTCAAATTACTTATTTCTCCATGCTAAACATCTTTAAGACTACATATACTATCATCATTCAAATCAGACTGCGCCCTTGCCTCGGTCAGACACGCTCAAGGGCTTCGCCTCCCCATGCGAATTGGCTCCGCCAGGCTCCGATTACGCCCATTTGCCTACGACTCTGCGTAGTCGCCGTGCCGCTGAGCCACCGTGCCGCCAAGCCGCTCGAGCCACCATGCCGCTAGAGCCGCCGTGTCGCCGAGGCACCAAGCGAGCTGCTAAGCGAGCCACTAGAGTCGTAATCAAGTTGTGCCGTGCCGCGATGATGACCGCCGCGAAGAACTGCGTTGTGACAACATCGACCGCCGCCATGGCGACAGGCTAGAAAAGCTCGAGGGCTGGGCAATTTCATCGCCGCCGACCAGTCACGTTCTCATTCGCGTTACCCAAAAGCAGCCATGTCCTCGATTTAGCACCAAAGTATGTATGAGCAGTAGCGCTCCGCGCCATGGGCGATCGGCAATGGCTCCTTGGTGATGCCTATATCCCCAAGTATGCATGAGCAGTAGCGCTTTGCACCACGGGCGATCGGCAATGGCTCCTCGGTGATGCATATATTCCTAAGCGTGCACAAACATCTCGGGATAGAATGCCCCCACGTCTCGTCGGTACAGTGCTTAGCACTCTCCACGGTCTCCAATTTTCGCCACGGGTCTCCAATTTTCGCCATGATCTCCAAATTTTGCCACGGTCTCCAATTTTCGCCATGGTCTCCAATTTTCGCCACAGTTCTCTAATTTTTGCCACGGTTCTCCAATGATCTCCATGGTCTCCAACGATCTCCATGCTCTACAATGATATCCATGTTCTCCAATATTCTCCATGTTCTCCAATCTCGCTACAGTATAGTGCTAATGTGGGGGTACGACCCTAGATACCCACAGCAGACTACATGGGCTGCGCTCCCAGGGGCGGTTCAGCCCACAAGACGAAGACCTATGGTGCACGGCACTGCTCGGTATGCACCGCAAGGCATCAAGGGTGATATCCTGAAGATACTACGAGATCTGTTAGGATATGTTCGATCCCATAATTCATGTAATCTGTTATTACTTTCCAGTTATCTTCTAGATCTAACCAACTTGTAACCCTGCCCCTTGGACTATATAAGGCGGGTAGGGACCCCCTCAAAACACAAGCAATATCATACGATCGCTAATACAAACCAACAGACCATAGGAGTAGGGTATTACGTCGTGCTGACGGCCCGAACATGTCTACCTCTTGTATCTCTGTTGCCTTCTTGTTCTTGATTACGCGTACCTCTACCGATCAATCTACCTTCGTGGGATACCCCTCGGAGGACTGTCAAGCATCTTTTGTCAACAGTTGGACCGCCAGGTAGGGGCGTGCGTGCTATTTCTATGATGAACAAGATGGTACATTTTGCAGGCTCTTCGTCCTCACCAAAGCCCACCCAGATCTTTACGGTCAGATCGATCTCCTGGGTCATCAATGCCGACGGAGACGGAGAGATCATCGAGCCAGTGCAGATCGATTCTACGCCGACCACACCAGCACATGCAACAGCAGATCCGATCTTGGAACCGCCTCCGAGGTCGTCTTCATCAACAACTCGCCGCCTACTCTCCCGCTACCCGAGGAAGTAGATCAACAATGACGATCTGATCGCATCCATCGATCAGGTTGGCCAGAGGCTCGCCGACTGCCTCTCCATCATGGAATCGGCTCTGATCACTCTGGTTCAGCGCCGACCACCCTCCGATTCCGATCTATCGGAGGCTGATCAGGAAACTCTAGGGGTTACGGCCCTACCCTTTGGGCTCACCAGCATCGCCGCCTTCTACAAAGATGCCCTAAGGGGCAAATTTGTCGACCAGGTGGGAGACATCTATCCTCTCACCGATCAGATCGCCGACCAGCTCTCGCCAACCATCAATATGCTTCAAATCGGCCGACACCCCGAAGCATCCCTCCACACCATCTTAAAGGAAAATCCAGACTCCGAGTCCCAGGGCTCTACGGAGACTGTCGCCAAAACCGTCGCCGTACAACCTCCTCTCCCTCCCTTCCGAGGAGGCTGGATCTTCAATGTCAGCGTCGATAGCCCTCCACAAGATGGAGAAACCGACGAGGACCACGCCGCTCGTGTCAACAGGAACGCCAACCGTGCACAGCGCCGAGCAAATGAGGCCACCATCGTGCTAGCTAAGGCTGCCCGCAACGGAGAACAGCTCGACTCGCAAGGGAGGCCATGTCCACTCCACCGCAACCTCGACGAC